GCTCTCTGGACTGTGGGGTTACAATCTGTACAGCTGTAAAACGTTTGGCCGTTTGTCCATAGGACATGGAAGCGCTGTTTTCAGTGTTTGATGGGAATTGGTAAGGTGGGTTTTAAGACAGGGCTCTGCATAGATGTTTGAGCCTTGTTAAGGATGTTTGAGGAGTACAATGGCTGTGAACACACTGTGAGGAGAGAACAGGATACCTCTCTCAGACACCCTCCCCCCTCCCCCCCGCCAGTGGCCTTTTATTTCTCTTTCTGGGGGTTAATTGAATCAGCTTCCATTTTGCAGCGATGGGGAAGGGATTAGGTTGACAAATCGATCCCTGGGAAAGTGGGTTAGAGAGTCTGCTGTCTGATTGCTGTAACAGATACTGGACTGTAAAGGGTACAGAGCAGATGATGATGATGATGATTATTACAGTCACACTGTCTGGTCCAGACACAGTGTCACAAACACACACACTCTCACACACACTGAGATACAGTGTCCAAACACACACACTGACTGAGACACAGTGTCCACACACACTGTCACACACACACTTAGACAGATAGACAGTATCCACACACACTGAAACACAGTCTCACGCACACACTGTCTGAGACAGTGTCCACACACACACTCTCTCACACACTGAGACACAGTGTCCACACACTCACACTGAGACTGTCCACACACTCTCACACACACACGCTTTCTGACTGATACAGTGTCCACACACACAGTCACACACACTGATTGAGACACAGTGTCCACACACACACTTTCTGACTGATACATAGTGTCCACACACACACTGACTGAGACACAGTGTCCACACACACACACTTTCACACACACAATGTCTAACTGATACACAGTGTCCAGACACACACACAGTGTCTGACTGAGACACAGTGTCCACACACACACGGTCTGACTTACATTGAACAAGTGCAATCACAGAGACAGTGACGCAGTGTTTCAGATTCAAGTCCACACACACACACACACACACACACACACACACACACACACACACACACACACACACACGGCCCCATCGCTGTGGGGTCACTCAGCTCTCACTGCTCTCTCCTCCACTTTCAAAAGTTCACTTACAGCCCTGGGCTGCCTCCTACAGCGTGTTGCCATGGAGATGCTGATCCTCAGTGCAGGAATCTGCAGCTACAGAGAGAGAGGAGCAGGAGCAGGAGCAGGGAGAGAGGAGCAGGAGCAGGGAGAGAGAGAGGAAAGAATGAGAATTAGATAGTTGAGGAAAAGTGTGTTTTGATGCTGTCTCTCCTGTCCTCGCAGTGTGTCAGTGTGTTATAACGCTGTCTCTCCTGTCCTCGCAGTGTGTCAGTGCTTTTTAACACTGTCTCTCCTGTCCTCGCAGTGCATCAGTGTGTTATAACGCTGTCTCTCCTGTCTTTCCAGTGTGTCAGTCGGGGGGAGTTACTGGTGTCTCTCTCCTATCAGCCGGTCACCCACAGGCTGAGTGTGGTGGTGCTGAAGGCCAAACACCTGCCGAAGATGGATATCACCGGTCTGTCTGGCAGTGAGTATCGCCTGAGCCGAGCCCCAGATCTACACACAGCCTGATCTCACTGAGCTTCACTCCACCGTACTGTGCTTTTACCCTGATCTCACCATGAAGTTTTTGAACAATTCTCACTCTCTCCTTCCTCTCCCTGTTTCTCCATCACTCTCTCCCCCCTCTCTCTCTCTCTGTCCCCCCTCTCCGCCCAGACCCCTACGTCAAGGTCAACGTCTTCTACGGCCGCAAGCGCATCGCCAAGAAGAAGACTCACGTCAAGAAGTGCACGCTCAACCCCGTCTTCAACGAGTCCTTCATCTACGACATCCCGGCCGAGCTGCTGCCGGACATCTCCCTGGAGTTCCTGGTCATCGACTTCGACCGCACCACCAAGAACGAGGTGGTGGGCCGCGTGGTGCTGGGGGCACACAGCCCCTGCCCCTCTGGCGCCACCCACTGGCGGGAGGTCTACGACAACCCCCGGCGGCAGGTCGCCAAGTGGCACAGCCTCAGCGAGTACTAGGGGCCCCAGGGATGGTGGGGGGGCGGGGGGGGTGGGTGAGTGGGGGAAGGGAGGTCGAGGGAGGGACAGAAAGAGGTGCGCCCTCTGGTGGCCGAAAGCAGCAACTACAACGACGATAACCAAGATGGCTGCCTGTTTCCTTGCCCAGAGCCTGAGGCCCTTGACTTGTACAGCGAGCAGCTGGCTAAGAGGAGAAACAGAGATGCGAATAGGAATTCAACTGCAGGTCTGGGGAGCGGGAGGGAGCCCGCCAAAATTCTGAAACCACAACAGGGTGGGAGGGAAAAACTGAAAGTTCACCGAGGAAAAGGCAAACGCGCTGGAGGGGGGCGTCTCCAACCCTGGACTGGCACACCTCGGAACCGCCGATCGGCTGCTCTTCCCCGAGCAGGACGAGAGCGCCCCCCTGCGCCCCAGCTCGGACCCCCTCCTCGCCCCGCTCCCCTCTCGGGTTTACTGCATGCCTGAGCAGAGCCCGAGTCACAGACTGCACAGCGAGAGGGAAGGAGGAGCACCCGGAGGACGGACGGACCCCCCAGGGCACCAGGGGGGAGGAGGGGGGTTCAGGGGGCGTGGGGGGTGAGGTGTATATACGGATTGGGAACCCTGACCCAGCTTGGTTTTTTTGTAAACGTTCTGCATCACCCCTCCCCTCCGCCCACCCCACCTATCAGCCACTAGCTCCTTTAAATCAGGAGGGGGGTCCCCCCTCGCGCAGGGTCGGGGTCACAGTCCAGCAGGGCCCTTGAGGGGTCTCACTCACCCATCAACAGGACAGGAAGCTGCTCTGACAGCGGGTCAGGAAACTCCAGATGAGGGCCGGATCTCTTCGGTGGTTCCCCAGCTGCTGGTGAAGTAGAACTAGCACCCCCCTGTTGGACTGGGGCCCCTGGGGGACCCTAGTTAGGTTAGGGCCCCCCGATTCAGAGGTTAGTTCTACACTATGTGCTCTTTTTTTTAAAGAAATAATTTGGAGTGCTATATACAGTTGTCCGTTTGCATTATACATTAACCAGAGAGATTTACAGGATAGTTAGAAATAACAGTGCATGTGTCCGTGAGGGAATCTTTGACCTATAGGTGTCCCCAGCTTGGTCTTCACACCTTTGCAAATATTGAGCCATAAGTGATGCTGCCGAGTGGAGGCAGACAGCAGTGCCGTTTCTCCAGAAACACAGACACAGGCACTGTGTCGGGGTGGGAATATTACTGCACTGTCACAATGTCACAGAGCTGTTTTTGTTTAAAATAATATATATATAGGAAATTATTTGCAAAGAGATAATGTCCGTCTTGTTGTTCACCAATGTTAAAGTTACTGTACGTTAAATGTTCCTGTTGTCATGCAAAGAAGAATTTTGGCAGAGGAGAGTCTGTCTGCTTGAGCAGTTAAAGAGCCGGGTCACACTGTAACCCTACAGTCCAGAGATCACTG